CTGAGGGGAGCCGTGGCACTGAGGGGAGCCGCGGCGCTGGGGGGAGCTGAGGCGCTGGGGGGAGCCGTGGCACTGAGGGGAGCTATGGCACAGGGTGAACCACAGCGCTGGGGGGAGCTGAGGCACTGAGAGGAGCCACAGCACTGAGGGAACCATGATGCGGGGGGGAGTCATGGCCCTGGGGAGAGCCGCAGCGCTGAGGTGCTGAGAGGAGCTGCAGTGTGGAGGAGTCGCAGCCCTGAGAGGAGCTNTGCGGGGGGGAGTCATGGCCCTGGGGAGAGCCGCAGCGCTGAGGTGCTGAGAGGAGCTGCAGTGTGGAGGAGTCGCAGCCCTGAGAGGAGCTGAGCGCTGAGGGGAGCTGAGGCGCTGAAGGGAGCTGAGGTGCTGAGGGGAGTTGAGGCGCTGAGAGGAGCTGAGGCACAAGTGAGGAGGGAGCCGAGCGGCACCCTCGCATCGGCAGCAATAGGGCTCATTTGTAAGCAAGTACTTTGTTTAGATGCTTCTATTTTTTTCTGAACACTGCCTCATTAGATTTATTCTGACAGCTAGCTCTAAAGGGGCGAAAGGACGTGATGTAGATAAAGAAGGCGAGGGAGAGACAGGTGCTCGAGATCTAACAGGTAAGAGGAAGCAAAATAATCCATCTGCAGAGAAAAAGCTTTGTACAGGTCCTTATCTTGCAGAAGAGCTTGTGTGTGCACACATCCAGGATTTACCTAATGAATGGCAAGCTACAACAGGCAGCTGCTGCTCTTGAGTGGGGAAAAACGCTAAAGGAATTAAGCATATAATCCAAAAAGTGAAGTCCCTGCCCTGAGATCCTCCAGCCAGCACAATTACAAGTTGCTTTGGTAAAGAGGGAAAGAAAAAGGCATTGTGGTGCAAATCACTCCTCAAATAAGTTTATCAAATTAGTTTTCGCTAACATCCAGAGCAGCTGGCGGCAGAGCAGAGAGGGAGCTGAAACGGGAGCCACTCCGCCTGTCCTCACATCCATGGCTTCCAAGGCCCCACACAAGGAGTCTAGCAGCTACGAAGCCAGGAGTTACCGAAAGGCTGCTACGCTCAGCTTTGCTATAGGGGGACACAGATTTAATTACAAAGGACTGGGGAGTCTGCAAATTGAAAATGTGCAAAGGTTGAAAACTGTGACCCTGGGGAGAATTTGATTAGAAGGCACAATCAGCTGGAAATTTGTTCCAAACCGTAAGTGCTCTCAGCCCACGCAGGGTAGGTTTCATTTTCATCATCTGTGCAAGTTGCAGGGGTTGTTTCAGCCCTGACAGCCACAGAAATGCCACCTTCTGAGCCCGCACCGCAGCTGCGCCCTGAGCCGCGGTGCTTAGCGGAGCACAGAGCTGCTCGGGGGGCTCTGCTCAAGCTGCTCGGGGGGCTCTGCTCAGCTACGGGCACTTGCGTTTAGCGGCAAACAGTGCTCCGATTTTGCAAAGACAGCTAAGCTAAGAGCAAGGAAAGAACAAAAGGGCAGTGAGGGAAGTTTTAGCTACTGCTGGTGGCACTGGAAATCAAGAGTAGCCCTTCTGTTTGCCTTAGTACTCTCCATGAGTTTGCCTGGTCGCCGCTCCAGCAGTAAGTGGCCTCAGAGCGCCCTCAGCCCCAGGTCCCTCAGGAGGAGCCGAGCTCGAGCAGCGAGGCACAAGGAGAGCCCGGCTGCCACTGCCTGCGCCGTGCCCACCTCAGCTCACCCGGCACCTCAAGCTGCCGGCGCCGTTTTCCACCTAAGGCTCCCCGCTCCTCTCCCCGTGCCCAGCTGAGCTGCATCCCCACAACTCGGCGGCACGAGCAGGGCCTCCCTGCACAGAAGCTCACTTATGCCCCTCGGAGACAGACTAACGATTGAAGCCTCGGGCCAGCTGAACGCGACGCTCTGCCCGTGCTACTGAACAGCACTCGCGGGCAGGAGTCATTAATCCACCACAGGCACAGGACACACAAATAAGGCTGTTTACGAACAGTGGACTGGTTTTGGGCAGCGCTTTTGGCAGATCTTTCGCAAAACGTATTTCTCCCCTTAAATTTCATCTACATTCATAAAAAAAATCATACTGAAAAAGAAATCCTTTGAGATACTTAAGAAATCCTTACCTTAATAAATGCTAAAGGCTGGAGTTAACAATGAAGTTGTTCATTTGAAAAAAATATTACTATTAAAAATTAAAAAAAAAAAAACAAGGGAGGGTAGGAAATGCGAGTGTGAAAGCACCGACATATATCCTGACTGAGATGCAGTACAAAAGCTGCAGGTTTTTAAGGGAAACGTTTAAAACAAATTCAGCTGCACATTTATACGAGAGGAGAGAATGAAACAGAAAATCAGACAGGTGCTTCCCCCACCACCACCAGAAAATATCGCCACTTCTGGGATTTTAACCTAGACAGTTCCTTGTTCTGAACTTAAAGCAGGCAAACTCTAGAAAAGCATTAGCTTTCCTAGGGAAAAAAAAAAACATACAGAAAGTCACACTAAATGAATAAGGGTAAAGCGAGCATTTTCCCTTTTTTAGTATTTATATTGCTCCCAATTTAGCAGCTCAGACGTCTTCTCTTGCTCATAGCACTGCTCTTTAGATGGAGACAGAAGAATCCTTTTGGAAAGGACTGGGTGCAATGGTCCATGCCCAGCTGTCTCCAAGCAATAGACACGCTGTGGAAAACCCCTTTGAAGGAGACACCCCCAGGCAGGGCACAGGGCGCAGGAAAGATCTGGCCTTGCACAGTGCAAGCCCTTGGCCACAGCCCTCCAAAGCTCCACGGAGCAGAGGATTCTGCTTCCCAAACTCTGCAATCTTTGCACAGATTTTTGTGATAAGAAATATATTTTCCCATAAAAGACAAGTCTACCCACTCATCTCCCTAACCCCGCTTGCCTGTAGGCTTTTTTTCAGAAGATAAGGCAGACGAAGGTCTAGCTCACTGTGCCAAAACCCAGGAGTGGCCTCTAAAGCCAAGTTTGCTGCGTATATGTGTAGACAGCTCCCTGCACTCCCACTTCCAAAACGAGGCAGTAGCGGCTCAAAGCCAAGCTCATTATGTAACTTTCAAAGCCAGGGGACTATTAATAAAAGAAAAAAATAAAATTTCCTAGACTGGATATCAAGCTTCAGCTGCTGCTGCCAGAGCCTCATTCACAAGCCAGCGTTAACTTTACTGCTACACATACACATGGCAGTGTGTCCGCTTGCCCTCTGCTCTCCCAAGTGCTGTCCTCGCTCCATGGGGACAATTCTTAGAACAATTCAGCAACAGGCATCAACTGGCTCAAGGTTATCCGTGAGCAAAGATGTCCTGTCACCCTCACTTCTGCTAGGTGTGTGGCTCCCTCTGTAATAACCCATAAACGCATGTTGGAGCACTGGGGCACAGCAGCAGCCCCTGACACTCAGCACGCTTTGCTGCGGTCCCCAAGCACTTTAATGATGTTTTATACTCATTTCAGAGAGCAGCTACTTTACAGCCATTCTGCTGCTTGCAGAACTACAAGGTAGGCCCTGGAGCAAAGGTGTCCCCACGTCAGGAGCACCGCTCAGCACCTGAGCTGGGTGGAGCTCAGGAAGGAAAGCTGCCCAGAAAACACAGAAAGGGAACAGGTGATGAAAGGCTGAGGAGAGAAGTATCTGCCAAGTATTAAAAAGAAGTATCTTTTTAATGGCATTAGATGACAGACCTGCACTTTGCAACTGCTTGACTGTACAGCTTTCTAAAAACTACTACAGTATGAGAGTCGATGTATATAGAGCACATAGTTCAGCAGTCTGCAGAAGCCTTTCTAGTAAAAAGTAATCAATTACCTCTGGTGAGAAAGCCTCAGGAAGGATGAATCAACATGAAATTAATACTTTAATTAAGATACATTTTTATATCCACATCAAGCAGATGCCACATAGTTCACCCTGCATTTCTATAATAAATTTGGAGTTCAGAGCTTAAATGGGTCAGTAATAATCATGCACGCGTTATCAAGTACTGCAGATGTGCCCTTCAGCTCCAGCAGCATATTGGCACTAGAATGCAAGATGGTATTAGCTTCCAGAGAAGGAAACGAAACAGAGTCTGACTTGGCAGCCATGCATGCTAGAAGAGAGGAGGCTCTACCCTTTAACAGCTCAGCTTGTCCAGACTTACTGTTTTCCTGCACCCTGGCCACGAAGCCTGTGAGAGGTATCTGTGGAGTCAACTGAGGCATAGGGGGAGGGGGGGGAGCAATGGAAACTGGTAGCGACACGCACACCGTATCGGGGAAGTCAAACGGACAAGGGGGGAAAAAAAAAGGGGAACAAACAAAAGCAGCCGTCAGTAACGAGGACCACAAAACGAAGTCTGTAAAGAACAACAGCAAGGCACACACGCGGAGAACCTGCTTCAAGCTTGTTTCCAACCCAGCTGAATTCCTGCTTGGCCGGTGCGGGGCCACAGCACAGCCCTGTGTGCGGGACGCGTGGAGGGCGCGCGCCCCGTCTGCACGACGCCAGCGTGCACAGCGCTGAGGCCTCGCACGGTCCTGCCGAGCAGGGCCTGCACCAGCTGCAGGAGCTCCCTGCAAAGCGCGGGCTGCCAGGAGGGGACGTCACCTTCCAGAGGAGCGCGGCCCACCAGGAGCTGCGGTGTGGGCAGGGAAGTGGCCGCTCCATGGCGGGAACGGCAGGCGAGCCGGGAGCCGCACGGGATCTCCCCAAGGGGAGGACCTGCCGCACGCTGCTCTGCTGCAGCAGGGTGCCCTGGCTTCTTGCTTCACACAGAGCACAGAGCTTGCTGCTCCTTGGTGTGAAAACACATGGGCTTAGAGCAGAAGGGAGCTCTGAATTACTACATCATCTGTGCTGGGAGGCACTTGGCAAACCAAGGAGAGGACAGAGGCTGCGCTCCCTCGCACGTCCCCTCAGTGCCGTCTACATCTCGGGGCACAGGGAGATGCAGACACGGGGCACTCGGGTGGCTGCTTCGCAGTCGAGATGCTCACAGCTCCTCTCTACAGGCCTGTGGTAGCCGGGCAGGGCAGCCAGAGCCTCCATCCGGGCCTCAGATCTCCCACAGAGGAGAAACACGCTAAGACAGCAACTCACTGGCTGCACCAGTCCCCTTCTCAGGGCCATTTCTCTCGAATTGAAATGGACAAACTCCTGTGAAGGTGGGAATTCAGCATGCAATTCAGTTGGAAGCAAATTTGAAAGAGGTTCTACAATTCTAAAATAAGCAACAATTTTTTTAAAAAAAGCTATAACTAAGATTAATGTTGGATGAAAAAAATGTAACACTTAGTTCATTACAAAACAATAATTACATCAACTTTATGGCAGAAACTATCAAATAAAGGACGACAAATAAATAAGTTTGTCACAAAACTGAAGTAAACATCTAAGAAAAAATAGAATATTTGTTAGCATGAGAGGTAAAATCTTAAGGTAACACAGAATCTAGATTTAATGTGGAGACAGCACTGAAAAAGCCAGTTATGGAAGAAAACAGTTTAAAGTAGAAAACCCCATCAAAATACTGTTTAAAAATATCCCAACAACCAGTATTTTGAAAACACCAGAAAGACTAGATTAAGGAATAGCACCTGCATTTGAGCAAAAAATTGCTTTGAAAAAAATGTAGATGTTCAGCAAGAGTCACGTGCCCAGCACTCAGGGCAACCGAACTATTTCTAGAAATCAGGGCCATTTTACTGAACAGAACAGAGCTGCTTGAACAGGAAGGCGTTCGTGTTGTTACGAGGGATTAACTTTGTGGACAGCGAATGTGGAGAAAAATGAAGAGCCAGTATAGGTGAGAGAGTGACAGGAAAGAAAAGTGTTGGAAAAAAACAGACAGGGGTTGTGTCTGCATGGAAATGTGTTTTGCTTTTTTTTTTTTTTTTTTTTTTTTTGCTTTTCTGGCAGAAGTAATTCTTCTAGACCAGTGAGAAAACAAAAAGCACTCACTTCAGTGTCTCAAATGTTTTACATGCGTTTTTTCCCTTAAAAGTAAGTACAGAACAGCCAACACAGATCCAAAGTGATGTGCATCTCGCAGGGCAACATTTCTTTTTTAAGAAATATCACTCTCAGAAGTTTAAGAGCTGACACACTGAAGAACATCACCTAAACCCATTACAGCACTATCAGTACTTCATGTATCTGCTCGTAAAATTTATGGGAAAAAAATGGGAAGAAATTTCCTGATTTCAACACTGCTCTCCACCAACACTCGAGGAGATCCCATTTTTCAGATCCTTCTGCAGTGAAGCTCTTTGCTGTCTTGCTGGCTACGTAGGATGCTGTTGGCTACAATTAACTCATCCACTGCATCCCGTCCCACCAGCTACGATACCAGTGTGGGAGCAGAGAGGAGTGGGGTTTGCTAACGAGAAGGAACTGAACTGTTCTGCCCCTTCCTTTATCAGTCACACAAAATGGAGAACAAAGTCGAATCTCGGAACTCAGGAAAAGATTTTGGAATGAGACAGAGACAGGAACGAGTTGTATGATGGGAAAGGTTTGTTAGGGTTGTCCTCTCCTCTGGCAGCCTGTTCTGGCCACTAGGCCAGGAGGGGAGGGAATGTATTGCAACCATACTAGGTCTCCTGTGAAAAAAAAAAGGCTTTAGATTATGTTCTCCAAGCACACCTGAAATGCTAAGTATAATATACCTATAATTAGGTAGGCAATCATAATTTCCTATCATGAGTAACATCAAACAACTTTATAGGGAAAACAGAATAATTGCACACAGTGCAATCACTGTGCAACTTACATAGAGGGGTTTTTTGTTTGTTTTTCCTTATATTTTAGGAAAGAACGCATTCATCTGATTGATACTCTTCATAAACGAATTGAAACGCCATGCATGCTTTTACAATCATTTTGCTCAAAACAGTTGGAGATTTCAGAGCTCAGAAGCTTACTTGAATTTTGAGAGTAAAGAGGCCCGCCATTAACATGAGGTTGAGCAGAGAATGGGGCAGTCACAGAAGGATTCCGTCTGTATCCACCAGAAGATGCTGAAGAAGTGGTAGAGTTGTGCCGCGAGATTTGCCTGGTCATTGTGCCATACTGGGAACCAGGAGCTGAGCCCGGAGCAGCTGAAAAGCATTAGCCAGAGGAATCAAGGGGAAGACTTAAGCAGAGTATTACATGAGACAGAATGCAGAAATAAAAAAAAAAGCCCCAGAACATGGGAAATATTTGATTACAGATCTCCAGTAATTTGCGTCCAGTAACAGGAGATTAATGGAAACCAAGCATACCTGGTATAATCAATAACGAGAAAAAACATACAGGACATAAAACAACATTCATATAAAGGGCATTTGAGAAATGCTGGAAACTATTTCGATGGGCTGGAAAATTGCATCAGCTTCCAATAAGCATCTCTCATTTACTCTACATGCAACACCCTTTATTGGAGAGCACACAACAAATTCCGTATTCTGCTCAAAGCAAATGTTTCCCATTGGGAACGAGAACTTCTTTCCCATCTGATACAAAAAGATACTCTAGCAAGAACACAAAACAAACAACACGAGCTTCAGACTCGCCAGGTCTGCTCGTCATATTCGCTGGTCGTTTTTTTCATATTTGTGCAATTTGCACAAAGAAAACACAATCACTGATGCAAGCAGACAGAAAGACATCACTTATCCTTCAAGACCAACGTCGATTTTTACCTTTCTCATACTTGCTGTACAAAACGCAAGGTTAATAAAACATATAAGTTGTCTATTTTGCATTCTTCTGAGAGAGAGAGGAAAAAAACCACTTTGTAAACTAATGATTCTCATGCTTAGAGGCCACACAGATTAATGCACAATTAAACGCAAAAATGATTTTGCAATAGAAGGTTCTGTGATATATCTAGATATGTAGCTAGATATATCTACACACACATAAATAAAAATATATACATATATATATATGTATACATGTGCAAATAGTGTGTGACCAGGAGTGTGCAGTCTTGAAAGGCTTTCCAAAGCCACTCTCACTGCAGTGAGAGAAAGTGCAAAGGGTTACGTGGGTCAAAGCCTCCAAAGTTGGTTTCCTAACGAGAGCAGTGCATTTAGTCAGCAGCCCATGGTTGGAAAGGATGCTTTCTACGTTGGGTGTTTTAATCTGCTTTTAAACTTACTCCTCTTAAATCCCTTCCTCTCACTATGTAAACCTTGAAGTCGTTCTTCAAGGATGGTCACTTCTTGTATCCTCGAGCATTGCCGCTTGGCTTCCACCTGCAGCACTACAGCATCCTTCCCAAGCAGCCGTGACGGCCTCTTTGCAGTCACATTCCCCCAGGAGGGGCCTTCGGAGGCTTTGTCCACAGGGAGTTAGTGGAGATTAGATTTGTTAAAACAGACACACCCACAACCAGTAACAACCCAGTAACAATCTTTGCACTAAATCATAGGGACCCCTCTAGGAACGACAAACGGCTTCACTAAGTCCATTAGGAGGAATTGATTATTGATTATGCAGCGTGACTGCAATCACTTCAGTGTTGCCACGAGTCTCACCTATCAGACTGCCCATCGGGAGAGGTGGAGGCAGTGGTGGTGCTGGCGGTGCTCCAGGAGGAGGAGGAACAGAAATGGGTGCTAATAAAATAGTTTTTATTCCTGATTAGGGCATCATTTTTGAAATGCAGATAAGAAAGCACTGCCACTTGAGAGGCTTCCCAAATAAAATTTCAACTTTAGTCAATTGATACAAACTCAGGCCCTGACCCTACACAGGGTTCTGTACCTGCAGATCTTTATTTCCACAGATTTTAATGGGATGCCAGAAGAAAGTAAGATTTCATGCCTATTTGTACCACTGCAGAATCAGAAACACCTGGGAAAGAGAAAGGAAAGCCTACATGTGTGTAAGAAAGCGAGGACTTGTTAACTGAGGAACAGGGAACTGAGGAACAGGTGCAATAGCAAAATTACATAACACCAAAACTCCACTATTTTCTTGTGGAAATCAGCTTCATGTGCTTATGAATGATGGTTATTGTGTTGGCTTAGTATCAAGATAATGATCCTGCTGGCTTAAAATAATGAAAGATTTTACACATTCCCACTATTCATCATTCTTAAAGAGAAGGGAATACACTTTGTATGCTGTGAGAACCTGCATCACGTGTTTTTAGTGCCAGGCTACATGCACACTTATTTTCAGCTACCTCTCTCAATGATTTCTCTCACAACTTAGCAATTTCAGAGTCTGATCATGGCATAAGCAACGCTGGTGGATAAACCTGAATTCCTAGACAATCTTCTCATCACCTCTGTCTTTTATTTGAGGCGAAGATTTGTGTTTAATTAAAAAGAGAACACGTACATACAATCACTGGCAGATGGTAAAGGTGGTGGGCTTTTTCAGAAGACATTTTTTCATCAGATACATACAGAGGAGTTGCTGCTGCTTCTCAGGGCATCCAGAAATGCCTACTGGTCAACAAGCCTTTAAAAAAGGCACTTGTTTTTTAAAAGTATAAACCCCTCTCCTTCTATCCCCTCCCCTTGCTCTTGATTATCTTGTAAAAACCAGAACAGGGGTGTTTTAATCATCGACTATTCCACGAGTAATTGTTCTGCAAGTAATTCTTCTAAGGAAATTAAAACTTCAGGTGCCCCTCAGCGCTCCTATAAGAGATTCCCTGAATAGGCCTGTGCTTGGGTGCATTTACTGAGCCCAAACCCCGCTGCAAACACGAGCACCTGGAATCGCGTGCAAGGCAGCGGGCGGAATCGCGCGTACCTGGTCCGATGGTGGGCGGCGACGGCGTAGGCACGGCAATGGGAATGCCAATACTGCTGCTGCCACTGTTCTCTCGGCTGCCGCTTCCCCCGCTGCTCCCGCTGCGGAGGCAAAACGCAGAGCTCGTCAGCGCCCGCAGAGCCCTGGCAGCCCCGCTCCCGGGCTGAAAAACCCACCACAAAGCGGCCCTGCCTCGGCCTACAGGCCCATGCAGCTAATGGAGCAAGGAGGGATTGTACTCCTAATAAATGGAATTAGCTAAACCGATAAACATTACCTGTGCATGAAATGCCTAATGAAATGCTTTAAAAATAAGTAACCACTGAGTTCTAGGCAATGAAGTAGCAACTGTCAGAGTCACTCTAGACCTTGCCCTGATTGGGACAGAAAGGTTCTTGCCTAACTGTAAGAATTTCTTTAAATGATATATGCTGTAGGCTAAAGGAAGCTTTTCTTTACTTGAAATGGAAGTTTAGAATGAAAACTTCCTAATAACAAACACTAAGTAATGTGGCAATGGTTATGAAAAAAACTTTGATTGAGTATAAGCCCCCAATTTTCTACAAACAACAAAAGTTTGTTTCTAAGATGGTATGAAAAGAAATAGGACAGCCAGCTAGCAAAATGTCCACCGGCCATCATAAGATCCCCGCGTTGGTGGCTGACAATAGGGGTTTTTGCAGAGGACTTTAGGAAGAAGCCACTGGATAACATTCCTGTGCATGTCTCCTGCAGGCCATTACATCTCCTTCCACTGAAGGGGCTGAACAAGATTCAGGAGGCAGAGTGAATCTGCCCTTGTCCAAAATTATCTCTTAAAACAAGACTCAAACTTACACAGACTAAACTAACAACAAAAGGAACAGCCTAGATGCTCTGAAGCTAAAAACACCACTTTCAGTCAGCTGTGCTAATTAAAGAGGACTTGGTGGTGTTATAGTTTATTTACCATTTCTGGGCAGATAGGTATCAGTACTGTCAAAAATTCAAAAGCAAAGCATTCAAATATATCTAAAAAAAAAAAAAAATTGTTCAAAAAGGAAATCAGAGATCTGAAATGGAAGCCAAGATAATTCCTTCAAAATTAGTGCTCTGTCTGCTGAAGACCTTGATCTTGTCACCATGGTTGCAGCCGAATTTGTAACTGCAGTGTACATAAAAGAAGAGCTTGTGAGAGGAGAGCAGGGAGCATTTAAAGTAGCCGGCTAAACAGATCTCCTGCCTCCAATGCACCAAGATTTAGCAGTTATTTCACTCTGAGAGTATTTTGTGAAGACTCTATCCGAAAAGACATTAATTTTGCATCCCCAGCAGTAATTTATATTAAAAAAGGGGGTGGGAGAAAGTGAGAAAAGCCATACATACCCCCCAAACCTGTTCTCCTTGAACATATATAAGAATTAGTGGATGAATTTCACTTTCTAGTGAAATCCTTAATACCAATTAAAGCATTGTAGCCAAAATAAAGCAATCAGCTCTTTCAACACACTGCCTTAATTACAGTATTTTAAATCAAGCAAAATTTATCCTTGCAATTAGTGGTATTAAGAACAATAAACAAACATTCTATAAAGTCTAAGAGTATTTTCAGCTAAAATTAATAATACAGCTTTTAAATCTTTAGGATCCATTTCTACCTTGCAACTGCATTTTTTTGAATTTTTATCTATTATTCGGAAACAAATAGTATAGAACAGAATCAAATAGTTATATGACATCAGGTGTGTTTATATGGGAGTATGTTGTTAGATATAATGTGGCTTCTACAGAGTTTAAGTGTGTTTCTGTATGGTAGAAAAGTCAAACAATACAATTAAATTTTGTTAATGCAGAGTGGTGGAACAACCTATCTTTTGCCTTTTAACAAAAAGCCAAACAGATGCAAAGCTTGAAAGTCTCTCCATGATTTTAGGGAGCCTCAGCTGCTAGAGAGGGAATCACAGAATCACAGGATGGTTGAGGTTGGAAGGAACCTCTAGAGATCATTTAGTCCAACCTTCCTGCTCAAGCAGGAATACCCAGAGCATGTGGCACAGGGTGGCATCCAGGTGGGTTTTGAAGACCTCCAGAGAAGGAGGTCTTCTCCTGCAGAGAATGAGGTCTCCAGGAAGAGCTACAGCGAGAAGCGGCTCTCTCTACCTGTGTGTTCTCGGTCTCTGGTTCAGGGACGCCGTCCTTCCCGGGCTGTGCTGACTGCCCAGCCTGGCAGGACTGGTCATGTAGTCATTGGGGACCGTTGGCGGCTTGACAGGCTCCAAGGTTTTGTAAGGAGTATTTCGTCTGTCAAAGAAAAAGGGTTTGAAGACAGAGAGATAAAGGATCAGCGGATCAAATAGATAAATGCATAAAATAGTGAAACCATTCGTTTTTTTAAGTTTTCATCAAAGACCACTGCCCAGTGACCCATGCTAGTATGTATTAAACAAACTCCACTTAATGCAGGGAGTGGGAGGATCTCCCATCCCACTCTCTGAAATGCTTTTATATAGAAGATCCATACAGCCTGGCTTTGTATGGTGCACACACTGAGTGAAAAAAAAAACCCACCAAAAATCTCTTCTCTGAACAAGTTACACATGCATAACATGCTGGGGTTACCTTTCAGTACACTGCGTGTTCACAGTTGTCTACGGTAACAAATTCCTCCTTTCCCCCTTCCCTCCAGACACTGCACTGACCTAAAAGCCCGCTTTGCTTAGGGGCTACAGCTCCATGGCACAGGGGGATGGCTGAAAGACGCACAGGACAATCACACCTGCAGTCACCAGCGCTCTTTCTGGTCTGGGCTTTTTACACTGTAATCAAGCAAACTCCTATCACTTCAGCAGACCTCGCGAGTGCTTCGCAGCAAGGCCTCGCTGGCTCCATTTTACAGACTGAGAAAGAGAAGGGCACAAACTCTCCCAAGGTCACCGAGCAGACGGCTCCGAGCCTGAAGCACAGCCCCGATCTTTCGAGATCTATTTACCAGCCTCATCACTGCTTTAAGAACAGTGCATTTACTGTGCTGAACTGCAGAGCTCTTCAGCCCCGCTAGTAACTAGGAGATCTCCTGCAAGACATGGAATTTGGCAAGGGACCAGCTGAGCGAAAAAATCCAAAAGCACCAGCATTAATCATCCGTTCAATTATTGGCTGTAACTCACTTGGTAAGTTATATTGCTTCACAGTATTCAAACTGATTGATCCAACCTTTACAATAGATGCAACAGTAATAAATTTTAATGGCAGCACTTTATTATTAAAGTCTTTCTTAAGGGGAAAAAGAGAAACACCATAATTGTTTGCATGTTCTATGGTGTTTGTAAATTAGTTTGCCTATACAGAGAACTCCAGATGATTTTAATATGCAGGCTGCCACCACCTATGGCTCTGCCAAAAGAGATCTGTCATGGGAAAAATAAAGAAATTTTGTGTTCCAATTGCAAGAGATATAGCTCTAAATGCTGCCAAATGAAATGATAAGCATGGAAGATTATAAACATGCTGCCGACAGAAATAGCCTTGTAAATTAGTGTTTTAATATTAAGTGTGCTATTTTGGAATACAGTGGCAATAGCAAATGTAGCCACTCATCTCTGCAGCGCTGTTTATTATGACTTCCATTTTAAACACGCTGTCTCCAAAGTCGTCCGCGACGACATCAAGCCCAGCCATGCCTCCTGCCTTCTCCCTCCCATCTTCCCTGCGGGACTTCTCTGCCGTTTGGGAGCTTGCTAAGGGCCTGGTCGTCTCTTGCCAGGGCTCGAGGCCGGCCCGTGCCCCAGCTTCCCTGCCGGCCCTGCAGGGAGGAGCGGCCGCCGCTCTCCCTGGGCTCCCCGGACACCCGCGGCCGCCACGGGGAGCTGAGGCCTCCCACCAGCCGAGGTCCCTTCCTCGCCATTCCCGCTCTGCCACTGCAGCAGCTGTCCCTAAGCTTTCCAGGCTCTCCCAACGGGATGAAGCCAGCCCCGTTCCCGGGAGCTCCTCACCCTGTCAGGTCTCGGTGCTTCCCTGCTCGCGCAGAGGCCTCCGGCGCCCGGCCCTGCCTCAGGGGCATGAGCGACAACGCCGAGGCCCGTGTTACACACCACGCACGCTCCCATTTTACAGCCTTACTGCCTTCTTCTGAACCACATGCAGAAGATTAGTAACCTTGCAGTTTCTAGCAATTCTTTCCACATATATTAGGGGAAACAGTCATGCCTGTGATATTTCATGCTTTGGCAGAACGCGGCTGCTCGAGACAAGAGCTCCACTTCCTGAACAAGAAGGGCTGATAGAAATCTCCGTTGTGAACCCACGTTATTCCTCCCCCTCAGCCAACTGCTGCCTCTCGTCAGGCTCATCTGGAAATGACGTTCAGCTGATTAATCCTTATCAAGCATCAGCCAAGGCAACCAAACAGCTCTGCTTCGGTGAGCAGAGCGCACTAGAGAGGCAGCTCTCCAGTCCCTGGGTGCTGCTGCCTCACTAGCGACTGGCCGAGAGGACATGAAAGCCCTTCCTAGCCTCCCAGCTCTGATAAACACGGCTTCCCCAGCTGGGAGAAGAGACACAGGCGGAATACTGATTGCATGCCCTTGAGCAATGGGAATTTTCACAAAATATGCTGAGGAAAGCCCTAGGGTAATTTCTCTCTGGAACACACAATAAACACTGCCATCTTGGAGCAGCAACGCAGCAAATCTGCATTAAAATCACTAAATCTTTCACAAAAGGAGGTTGCTGCTCCTAATTTTTCCTGATTTCCTCCGTTGCTCTTGAACCCCATCTTGTCCTGTCTCGCCATCCCACGTTTGCTCAGCTGCCCTCCTCTCCCACACGGAATACCTGCAGGTGACACCACCGCTCAGCCCCCTGCGGCAGAAAGGAAAGCCCGACAGGCAGAGAGGCCTGTTTAGGATGCCTTTGGGAAGGTGCTGTACTGTGGGATAGATAAAACCATGTAACACAAGCTTTGGATTTCTGAAGCGTTAATACTTGAGTCCCAAGCGATAAGTTCTTGCTGGCAGACAAAGCTCAGCAGATTTCACCACCCACAGGGCCAAAACAGTTTGGTAGGAACCTTTGCCACTGGTCACAGTGAGACTCATGAGTGGCATCGTATCCTCATCTAAGCACAAAAAATTTTCATTCAAATGCACAAGCCAGCAGGAATCGGTGTTGCCAACGTGTTCATAATAGCACCGATGTTGCTTAGATAATGTAACAAGTACAGAATCAACAGCCATTTTACACAATGCCAAGAAACGAGATAAACATTTAACAGCAAAGTCTTTCCCATCTTACTGATCTTCTTTTACACTGCTAAAGACTTCCGCCCAATTATCAGAAATAACAATAGCATCATCATTTACCCGTAACCGTAAGCACCCTCCCCCATGAAAAGCGGGTATTTCAAAAAGGGCATCATAAAACTCAGTTGAAATGATTCATAGAAGAAGGATATTGCGTTCATTTCTTAAAGGCAGTCAGAGCTCTCAACCACTCACATATTTCAGAAACACCAACATTAGCACAATTAAAACTTTCTATCCCACGAGCTGGACAGGCAGCCTTCATTCTTACCCCAGAGTTCCCCGGCCTGACATGGGAGGACTTGGTGGTTTTTGTGTAGGCGGATTTGTTCTTGACAAGGTGCCAGTTCTTGCAGGCTGGTTATTTCCATGCTGAAATGAGGGAAAACATGATTTTATTTTTATAACAGAGCAGCTTTATTACAGACTCTGTGTGGGGCTTTTTTTTTAAGCATGAGAATATGAAGTGAGAATTCCCAGACAGCTGTCAAACAGTAAGTTTTTCCCTACATATAACACAAGACAGAATAAATACAAACAGCCAAAATATGAGCTTAATGTTATCATTGCTATTAATTTACAACAGACATTGGGAAGCTAAACAATTGACAGGTTCATGCAAAAAATCTCCTGCATCCTCTTTTCTGTAAAATGAAGCCACATTTGCATTCATCTCAGCTTGAGAGCTAATAGTTTAAATAAAACTTTAACACAGTATGGTCAGCACGGGCCAAAAATTTCTCATTTGCCCCAGCTATTTGACTGGCAGAGTCATTTGGGATGTCTGGGAAGTCTCCAGTAAAAAGGTAAGTGAAGGGGATCAAGGCATCTACTGAATTCAGAGCAAAGCACTACATGTGTTAGAGAAATTAATGTATCTATGTGTAAAGGCAGATGTCAATGTATCGCAGATATATTGACACACAGTAAATGCTGTAAATAAAAACACAAGTTCAGCATATTTAATCTAAACATCCTATGGAAAGCAGAGGAGAGTATAAGAGAGCGCTAGTTTTGGGGTTTAATGGCTCTGCAGCCTCTACTATCAGTCACATGAGACACTGTGGGTCAAAGGAGAAATAACACTTCTTACCTTGGCTTTTAGCCACTTAACGTTGGCAAAAAAAGGGGGGAAAAGGTAGAAATTAATGGCAGATCCATCACAAGTGATAGGACAGGTTATACTACAGTTAATTACATTTTTAAAAAATCATCTGTCTACTGACAATTAGCTACATCCCGGACGCACTAACAAAGATGTTACTGTCTCACATAATCACATGGCACAACTTTCAATGACTAACTGACCGAAAGAAAAAATAACTCTTGTGTTGAAATCACATATACTTCTCTTCCAGATTTATCTGCAGGCCTCCTCATACAGGCAGTAAAGAGCTGAGAAGCCCTTAAGGTTCAAACCCAGATCAACAGCAACATACATTTGAGAATTCATTGAGAAATTCATCCGTTCATTCAGAATGAACCTCCCGTTGTTCTGACACGCAACCTTCGTGGGTTCTGAAGAAATCCTAGCTGCTGCACGGTAAGGTAAATAAAGATAAAGGGAGTTCTAAGGCTGGATGAGACCGAAACCTGATTCGAGCCAGCAGCAGAGCCCTGGCTGCTCGAACCGTGTGGGCAGCGCCCTAGCGATGACTGTTCTGAAATGTTAGCTCTTTGCATCACGTCATTATGCGATGCTAGCGGTTTTACAGCCCTTCATGACTGCAGAGAAAAAAAAAGAAATCACGAAAACTAGGCCTCCTAAGTCCAATATGAAAATTAGTGAAAATAAATAAATCCAAGTTGAGTTTTATAGTTTTAATTAGGGGAAGATGGGGTTGGGGGGAGAGGGCAGCATCTTTCTGAAGGGAAATAGGTTAGTTTTACTGATTGAAATTACCACCCCAATGGTGGTTTCACAGGCTGTTTGGAAGCAAACTGTTACTCTTAGAATAAATTTCTTATTGTAAAGTTTTTCAAACTTGTGGTGCAGAGACCTCCTCCCCCTCCTCAAAGAGCCACAGGCTGGTAGTTTTTAAGAGGTCTATGAATTCAGAAAAATAAATTAAAACATGCCATATAGCAATGTATATATATGTAGTTTCTGACAGGGGCTGCACAACCACTTGAAATCAGTTGGGGTTTACAATTCAAAGCGAGGCTGAAAGCCACTGCCCTCAAATTACTCATATTGTAAGAATAGAAACCCAAAACCTGTTCCAAAACCCAAATGAGAGAGCTTAGCTGTGGTAAGTAAATTTGAAGGTCATTCCGTTAACTCCCAGTCTGGCAAAGGTTCATCAGCCATTTAAACCACTTCTGCCCCTGCATACCTATTTCATAAACACACACGAAGGCTCAGTTTCCAGGATGCCAGTGCGGTCTCCCAAATACTGTATTTTTAAATGAGCCTTTCAGCAGTGGATTTGCTTTCCCCTCTCATATACGAGTGCATGACCCTTTCTCTTACTTCTCCCATTTCCAAGGGAAAAATGCAAGGAATTTGCTACCTGAAGAGGCCAAGAAGTGAAACTATCCATTCTTTCCAAGCAATCACAGGCAGACATCTTTCTTCTACAGGCTCAAAGGGGAGAGCAGCCTAAAAGACAGCGGACTTCCCCCTACACAAATGTGTGTGTGCTCATATATTCATTTATTCACAAAAAAAGTGCAGCTGCCTCTTTTCCATGCCCTGTGCAGTGCTGCTTATGGGGCCTCTTCCACCCACTCCTGGAGCCCTGGTTCATCCTGCTCCGCTGCAGCACCAATGTGAACATCAACACCCAGCAGTCATCCAGGAATCTTCATCTTATGTCCAGCACTGCTTAAGATATGAAACATATCTGAAGTCCACAGCTGCTGACTTTTGTTCTTATCTCCACCAGGGCATCGGGCGACCTTGATCTCTTGGCTACCGCGTAGGTAACACACAATGGATCGATACGTGCACACACGCTCACACACACATGCTTTATTATTATACTGCAGAATTAATAACTCTTGTCCCACTGTTTCACTCTGCCAGTGCCCTCTCTTTTGCTACCTGTGGAAAGAAGGGTCTCAAGGGTAAGAAGGCACAAAAGGGAGGAATATCCAGGGAAGGGAGATTCTGCTGGGAGGGGAACTCCTGATCCAGAGAGCACAAGTAAGGGAAGAAAGCAAATGAATGTGATATGAACCATATGACTACTTAATCATTCATAGTTAATAAGTTAATTAAATGGAAGACATTTTTCTTTTATTTACTGGCTGAGCCTGTAAGGGCAATCTTACCATATTACTTGTTCTGAAAAAATAATAGGGCTTTTTAAGCCATTCAAGGAAAGCTCTGGGAACCTTTTACACAGCAGGTTTTAGACCCATTATGTTTCTGAGAAAAATAGAAGAAAAGATGACAGAAAGCCAAAAAAAGGGGCATATTTACAAGACTGGTAGGTTCAAGCACCTGTCTACCACAGGCCACAAAGCTGATGGGCAGAACAAGGGCACCTCCAACCATCCACTGAGCAGTGCTCGTGAGAGCCAGTCCCACCAAGAGCAGACGAAAGGCAGGCCCCAGGAGCAGAGGAAGCTCAAGGTCCACAGCTTGAAGAGGGAAGAGGCTTTAGCATGAGGGAGCTGTGAAGCAGGAGACAGAGAGGTGCAGAAGGGACCAGATTTCGTTAGAGGATGACAGCGAGGCCGGGGAGCTGCCTGCAGGGCTTTGACAGGAGGGAGAGGCCTCGTGCTGAGGCCTCAGCGCCAGCAGTTAAGGCAATGGGCAAAGCAAGTGCCTACAGCAGCTGCACAGGGCATTTCTCAAAGGAAAAAAGCCTACCCACAAACATAAAAGCAACAAAGAAAGCTGCTCTGCAGCTAACGCTGCAAATTCAGAGCACCTGGACCCAGTTTTAGCTGTGTGGTTGGATGGGACAAATGGCGTTTTGGGACAGCGAAGCGACAGGTACCACAAAGGAAGATCACTCCCCTCTGCCAGCACCTTCTCATTCCTAGCTGGACTGGGCTCAGGGGCCATAACAACATTTTTTTTTTTAATTTCTTCTTTAAATATGGGAAAAGTTATCAAATTTCAAATTTTAAGGCATAAAAAGGTTTAAATGAAAAGCAAGACCCAGCAAACAAACAGAACAGCAAGAATTCTGTTAATAGATACTGATAAAATACAAAGGTGATATAAGAAAAACATCCACCAAGAGACATCAGGGAGGCATGTTCAAATATTAATGTAGACCAAAAATGAGGGCTCTGGAGTCCAGCAGCAGATCTATAATTTGTCCACAAAACTGATAGTTCCATATGTACTTGCAAGGAAACAACCTATCCAAAGACAGATGAAGATGAGGAAACCCAAGAACAGGTTGCTACAGGAGCTTCAAAGAAACTAGGACTTTGGAAAGGAGAGGTCCAAGGAGAAGTGAAAGTCACTTCATGCACATGGTGGACTTTTGGGGCAACAGGCAGGAAAGGGAATATCAGCACAACTCCTTGTACCAAGTAGTTCATCCTTTGGGCTCTTCCACACAGACAGCTCAGTTCAGGTGCTCTAAATAGTGCAAAAATAATCGCTAAGGCAGCACTGCAGGGTTGTGTTACTGAGACCACAGGGACAAGACCCCAAGTGTCAGCAGATTCCCAAGTGCTGTGAGAAGGCAGGATCTGAGGCAATCCTGAGTATTTACCACCAGGCAATGGATGCTCAGACATGTGAAGGACCCCCTGGGTAGCCTCAAGAGGCAGCCCGCTATTCCTAATAATTTCCATGCCAAATAACAAGTCATGAGGGAACATTAGTCATGATCTGGAGAACCAGGAAGCTATTATTCAAGTTACAAACTGTGTTTGGAAAACCAGGGCTAGGGACATGGCCCATGTACTCACATAAACGAGTTATGTCTTTATGAGCACTGAGATGTATGACATCTCAGTGATACACTGCAGCAGAGTGCTGTGATACCTGCACAGCAGAGACATGGAAGCAAAATCCTCATTGCACTGAAGCCCAAGAAGTTTCTCCCATGCATTTCAACTATAAACTCCCCAGTTTTGGGTCACAGAAACTAATTTTCTAGGCACCCCCACTGCACTTTCATGCTGTATGTGGCTTATTATTTCTCCAGGTACCAAATTTAAGGAGACAATTTCACTGTACATTCTGCCATACTTGGGGTTACTGAAAGCAGTTATTAAAAACAAATCAATATAAACGTTGATCAATGACAACAATTGCTTAAAAACCGCCACAGTCCAACCTGTAGTAATACAAAGTGTCTGAACTCGGCCCTTCAGTACGTATCCTCTGTAAAAGCCATAACCAGCCTGAGGTTAAAGGTAATTCATTGAGCAGTCATCAACTGCAACAGAGGAAAAAATAAGTTGTTCTCAATGATTACTTGGCCCACCTTCTATTTTACTTGTAAAGGTAAATGCGTTATTAGTCAACACAGGATCACATGAGACATGACTACGGAATGGAGCTGGCCCTAACACCTTTGGAAGTGCCACTATGGATCTACAGCCAGCAAATCCCACTGCTCCACAGTCATCCTCATGGAGTTTGCATGAGGACTGTCCCCTGTTTTGTCCACAGGGCAGCTCTGGAGCACTGCAGGTTGACACAATCAGGGCAAAAAAGCAGCTTGCATATCAAAGAATGGGATGCTTGAGGAAAAAAACACAGGGAAGCAGGGTCCATAAAGTATCCCCTCCCTGCTCCAACATTTTTTCCTTCCAGAAATCAAGATGTGGACTTTGGGAGAAGGGCACGTGTAATCAAAGATGCTTTGTGGAAAGGCAGACTGTACGTAGGAGTCAGACGCTGCGGATGACACTTACTGTTCTGCCACTAGCTCTGCAGTCTTAAATCATCCCTGCAACTCGGTTTCCTTATCGGAAACATATAGCAGCCTTTGCTTGTTCTTTTCTTCCCTTACAGGCTATCATAAGAAATGAGAAAATTTAGACTCTATTTTTTTTTTCTAAAAATGAACATGCATAATAACTCTCCATATTTTTTTTCCCTCCAGTAAAATTTTATCTTTAGCTTACAATATCCTCCAGCACTATTTGCAACCCAGTAATTATATTGTATCCCATTAACCTAGTCACTAGATGTCACCTGTCACTATTGCTTTCCTCTTCTTTCTTCCTTTTTTAGTTTCCAAACCAAGCAGGTAAAAATTTCCAAGTTGCAGCTTACTTCTTATGATATGTTTTTATATGTTGAACTGTTACTACTACCATACAGAAACCACCTGTGGGCGACAGGCAAACTCAATGTTGCTTCCTCAGTGCTTACTTGTAGTCTTCTTATTCAGAGACACCTACCTCTGACTCCTGCCTTCTAATTACCCAACTCAAATTTTAATTTTTTTTCAAGACTAGAAAATAAAGAGTCTGTCAAGGCTTTTGGCAATCAGAAAGACCTGAAATGTTCCTCCTAGCAGACGACACCAGGCACAATCCTGGATTTCCAGGAACAAGTGCCCTCCAAAAGGCACCTAGTAGCAGCACTCACAACACAGTTCTGGAATTGGGAGGGAAAATGACCTTTTCCCCCAGAAAACCTTCTTGACTCACAGCAGTATTTACTGTTTAGCCACTATCCCACGAATGACGATGTGACATGGATGGAGTGGGAAACACAACTTTCTTGGAAGCAACTGTATCTAACGCAGGCTAAGCCAGTACCAAGGAAGCCAAAGGTGTAAGATCCCTGACTTCATTTTTTTTCCCCCCAGTGAATTATTTAGAAGTTAATATCCAAGTGGCCAACACAAGAAAGGTCCTACCCTGCAGGGAAGGGCAAGCAAGGACTGGCAGCCTTCTACCCCGAGAGCTTCACGTCTGCGTTTTGTCTGGCAAACAGAGAGCCAAGCACAACTACCCCAATGACCTGGGCAGGCAGAGAAGCCTGACAATGGTCAGAACCACCGCACTGCTCCTGACTGAGCACTTGGCTCCAGCTCCTCCATGAGAACCCTCCCAGCTTCCATTTCCTCCCATAGGATTTCTGAATGCTGAACTCCTGCTCGTCGTCTTCGTCGATGAAGCTCCCTACAGTTTTACTGACTGAAATGCGTATGTTTTATGGGTAGGAAATTTCAAAATTCTCCTTCCAACGCAGCTGAAAAATGCTCCGTGCTCATAAACATTTGTTTTAGGAGAACTGATAGTTGCATATAATAAACTCAATCCAATTCAGCATTTTATCTCTACTTACTATAAGATATCTTTTCAATTTCCTACGTAGCTCTCATCTTACAAATTGCTGCAATTCCACCTGCCTCCTTTTCTTTAAAAAAATAAATAAATTGTAATAAATTCTAAAGGCAACTTCAGGGCTTTTAAGGTTTCTTCCAAGCTCCCTCCTCCTTCTCCCCGCTCTTAAACTGAGCATTTTCTGTATGAGTAATTGTATTTGACCTATTTATATACTGGCACATAACTGTTTGTTTCTTTCCCCTCCACAAAAGAAGGGGAAGAGAAGGAAGGAAGTGTTAAAGTAACCTCTACCTAACAGTTTTAAACCAGGATTTCTACAGAAGAAGGTGGCCCCTCACATTACGACAGGCTCTCTGCTCCAGTACTGCTCTAGTATCGCAGATGCTCCCCAATGCCCAGAAGGTGACGACTGAGAAGACATTTAGCAGACTGGCAATTGCACTTCCCTGTGAGCTTCCTGTACAACAGTTGTGCAGGGAGGGAAAGCCCTGTCACTAGCAAACCAATTTTACAAGGCATCCTGGTTTTGACTATTTATCAACCTCTGACTCCAGTGTTTTTGATTTTATTATAATTTAGGGCATGTCTTTCAAATTTCTTCACAGGACTGCACTCCATCCACTCTATCTCAGACTTTCAGTGTAGAAAAACCCTAAAAGTTCTGCATTTAGATACAGGTTTTGCTAACAGCACAAGACTTTGGTTAATTCATAGCCTTAAAGCTGCCATGAGCCAGAGGTAGCTTGAACTCAACTAGTCTGGGTCAGAATCAGGCTCCTCGGAGCGTTCCCGGGGTCCCTAAACCCTCGTTTAGGGCTGCCGCTCCTCGTGCTGAGGAGCTCTGAAAACTCTGCCCCTCCACAGCTCATTCCCTCAGAGGGCACCAGAAGGGCCGATCCGGCTGCTCGGCCAACTGACCAGAGCACATTAAGCTTTAGAGGATACAGGGGTCTTGAATAAAAGCTTTTTAATGCAATGCAAGGGAAGACGGTTTTGAACTGAATGTACCTTGAAGGCCTGCTCAGGGGAAATACAAAGCTATTAGCTGCTATTAAAATATGTCCAGGGAGCAAAGGGTGCCAATTACCTCACTTTGGACACAACCATTCCCAAGGAAAGGATGGTTGGGGGGGTACCCATTAACTTATAAAGGCTTTTATTTGCAGAGGGGGAGAACGAGCTGCCCAAATGAGTGAGATAGCAAATGTCATGGAGATGTCAATGCCAACGTAGCTGACTCCCCACCCCTCCCCAAAAGGAAACCAAATAAACAAACAAACAAACAAACCCCACCAGAACATTCCACCAGCCATTTCCCCATAACAAACTTCTTCATTTCTCTCAGTACCAAGAAGACATAAGGACAGTGGCAGAGAGGTGGAAGGAGGGAGAATCTTAGAAGTCAGTCACGGCTTTTCTCACAAGTCATTAGGCTAATGGTACGTCGATAAAATGCCCAACGAGCTCACGAGCTGTGTTTTCCAGACACTGGGACTACCCACAACAGTCACCAGGTTATGACACACACTGTCCCAACGAAAAGTTTGTGCAAAACAATCCACTTTTGTTATCAGAAAGTCTGTACGTGGGTGCAACCCGCGACCCTCCCTACCCTATCAATAAAGGCACTTCAGTATCTGGAACAGCCCACCCCAACCCTATCTCCTCTTCTGTGATACTTGCAATCCTCAAGTTTCTTACCTTGACACCATGGCCAACATCATCCAGCACCGTGTAGTCTATAGGTTTTCGAATGTACCTTACAGGCCGCTCCATGTTCGCTGGCGCGATGATTTTGTGGGTTCTCGACGTGTTCTTGTTGGTCGTCAAAATGCCTATCTCTCTGCGAGCAACCTTCTCTTTGTGGATGTCCACAGTCTGGATGGAAAAGAAGAGAGCACAAGTTTCTTCAGGCATCTGCTGCTTTCTTTATGAGCTAACTGCATGTCTAGGCTCTGCTGTTGGACAAAGCGAATCAAGTGAATCAAGTTAAAGCTGCTGGAGGCATGCTAGTTTACTGACAAAATGAGTTTAACCTATATGAATGTTGTTAGAAATAGCTGCACTTTAATAAAATAACCAATATTAGTAACAAAATTACAGTTATACATTACTGCTTTGACACTATAAGGACACTACGCAGATACAATATTTACAGGTTGACCTTCAACATTCTTATGACCGACGGTGGTAATAAAGGACTCAAGTGCAGAGCGGGGACACCCGGACAGACAAGCTGAGCAATTTGCCCCGAGCCCCCGAGGGGACTGAGCTTTACAAGTCTGTGGGGATTCTTTTCAGCAAAGCCACCGGTGCGTATCAGAGTAACAGCTCTCACAGCTAAAGACTCATTTCAGCACTGAGGCTAGTGTCTGTCACATCATGTACGACAGCTTTACGGAAAGAATAAAACAGAGCTTTACTGACAGCTGTGAAGGAAAACAAAATATACACCCAGGCTGAGCGTCATCAATTTGTAGGGAAAAAAGGCTAATGAGAAGAGGGGAGGTCAGCCCTGCAGGCTGGGAAGGGTCAGAGCAAGTCTCAGAGCACCTGCAAGAAAATGTCTACGGGCAAGGAACCATCTCTGAGCAAGGTAACCACAGCTAAAATGTCAGTTGCGGGAGGACAAGCACAGCTCAAGCATCAGATACCAGAAGGGAGCCTATCTCAGGACCCAGAGCCTGCGCTTGCTGGTTTAAGTGCCTGCTAAAACCTCAGGATCTCACTGCAGTAGCTGCTATTCAACCTCAGCCACCACTCTTCTCCTAATGACTTGGACCGAATCCTACAGAGCCATCACTTTTTAGCCCACATGCTGAAGAAAATCATCTCAGGTCCCTAAGCCTCAGTTTCTCTTGGGCAGGCTCTCACCAAAAGCCTCTCAAAGCTGAGAAAGGAAATTCCTCATCTGTCAGTACTGGTTTAGGCAAGTGTCTAGGAATGGCATGTGTCCCACTCTGAAATGGATATTGCAACATGCAGATTTTGCTGAGTAAAGCACAAAGCATCAAAGATGAAACGTAAGTTTTTATTTCACTCTGTTTCTGTACGAATCAGGACAGTAAGACTAAGAGAGGTGAGCAGCCAGTGACAGCTTCTAGGGAAGCCAGCGTTCAGAGCTCACTATGAAATGCCTTCAAAGGATGAAGCAGGGTTTTTTTGCCTCAAATCTGCGCATGTGTTCACATAATCTTAAATTCTTCTGAGTAAATAAAGAACTAAATAAATATATAAAGAACTAAAGTCCTTAACAGCTTCTGTATGTTGTATTGCAGCTTGCAGGTGTGAACACAAGCGGAGCACAAACCTAAACCAGAGCAGGCTTGTTTACATAGCTTAAAAACACATAGCAGCCAGCTTGCAACTTTGCAAAGGTTTCCTTTACTTTAGAGGAATCAGAAATCTGAATACAAATACAGCAGTAGAGATTTTCCAAAGAAACACAAGACATTCAACTAACTCTGTTCCAAGAAAATTAATGCCAAAAGGGCTACAGTTAAAATAAAGTGTTGGAGCAAACTTCCGTGTTATAAATGCTCAAGGCTCTCACAAATCCTCAAAATCAGCAACTCCAAATTAAAGCACCTTACCAAATGATGCAGTCCTGTGTATCAAGTATGCACCACACTGGTAGCAGAAATCAGCCACTAAAGCACATTGGCTCTGGCAGCCAATTTCACAGAAGACAGAGCAGAAGAGCTAAAACACGAGCCCGGCTCTGTTTCTTCAGCTCCTGCTATTATTTTTTCTTTTCCCTCTAGAATCTCAAATTTACACATTAGTTCTGCTCGAATTATACACTCCTTGCCTTTTGCTTGGCTTTCTGAAAGATCGAGAAATATTATTAAATATTATTTGAATTCTCTTCTACATGTTCTTAGTTTTTATTTTCCAGTTTGTGCAAGCTGAGCTGTTTTGTTTCCAATGAATCACTAAAATATTACGTCACGAATGGTCTTACAGAACTCTGAGCTACCTTACAGCTATTGTACACTGCAAATCTTCACATTTTCTGATAAATGAGGGCTGCACAGGTGAAAAAATACTAACTTAGAGTCATCTAAACAACACAGTACTATAGGAGGCAGAGGACAATGTGAGTCTAGGGTACATGGTACAATGCTTTAAAATAGGACATGTTAAGTATTACAATACAATAAACATTCAAAAGGCATATTGAAAATCGTGCTCCTGCTTCATTCTCCTGGATGGAATATCTTGCCGCTAAATAACTCTTTTTTTTAGGGGGGAAGGAAGGAGGAACCCTTCATGGCATGAAAAGCTGCATCTTTTCCTAGCAGGTGGCCCTTGGAGGCTGACCTCTCCACCCTGTAATGAACAATGAAAATTCCATAAATTACTGGAGCAGAGGATAAGGAATTCCAGGGACAGATGCTGTACCATACATGCCTTGGAACATGACTTACAGCAAATTCTTGCCTATGCAGAAGGAAAAAATAAAACAGGAAAAGATCAGGAAAAGAACATACATTATGTCAGACAGCTTATCCAAAATCAAATATGGAGCAGTGATCCGAAGTCTTTGCACAGCCCTCAATAATGTAAACCAAGGGAGAGAAGACTCTGTGCATCAGGGTGCAGAGACAGCAACTTCTGGCACATATGTAAGTGCTGAGGGGATGCAGGCCACACAAGAGATGCATCTGCTGTTTAAGCCATTAAAAAACTGCAACTCTTAGTTACTGCTTCTGGTGTACTGGAAAAAAACACGGGCCTGTTTGGCCCCGTGTGAAGCCAAGGCTCCCAGGCACCCGCTTTGCCCAGGGCAACACCCTCCTATGGGGCATCCTATGGGGCATCCTGCTTCTTCAGGAAGGAATGACTCTCTCCAGCTCCATAAAGGTTGCACGATGTTAATTATGTGCTCACTAAGCAATCTGAAACACGTAACTGTTTTTCATTTTAAGTATCTATTTGCTTGATGTTGATGTCAGCAATATAACTTGAGGGTTTTTTTTTTCACTTCCAGAAGAAGGAAAAGGACAAAACATGCAGTTTTTAGCAGGATGGGCTGTCTAAACAGGCAGCCAGCAGTGAAATCCTGAGAGAGGAAAGCCCCATGCACCAGATAAAAGCCAACTAGGCTGGTGTCAGATGGCCACAAATGTCCACTCTGACACAATGAGAGCGCTAAACAACAGTTAATTTGCAATTTCACACACAAAACCTCTTTCTGGGGTTAGTGCAGGTTTAATACACCTTGAAAACAGATTGACTTGAAGTATACTTGGCCTATGCTGAAAACAAGTCCAAGACGCAGTAGGAGAACTTGTGGAATAGGGAAGGGATTTGTACTCCCAGATAACACAATCCTATAGGAAAACGTCCAGCACTGGGCTGATGTGGGAGGAGGAGGAGCGAGCCCTCCTGCAGGCACAGCGAGTTCCCCAAAGGGAACCCGCAGGGGCCCAAGGAGCAGGCCCCGCGCTGCGGGGAAGGCCCCAGCTCACCCAGGGGACCCGCTGCGCCCGGGGACTCTTGTTCATTCGCTGCCTCCACCGTCTGCCTGCGTCAAAACCACGCAGAAGAACCAGCTCATCAACAGGATGCAGAGCTAAATGCAGCCGCTTGCTCCCTCCAAAGCCACCCCAAAGCCAGGAGCAGCTCAGCACCGATGCAGCTCACACAGTTTTTCTTTTCTCTCCCTGTCAAGGGAGAACAGACCCATCAGCCCAGGACCCAAACGAGCAGAGGGGCTACTGGACATGAAGCGAGAAGCCTGTCCAGAAACCGCAGCCCCAGGCCGTGCCCACGGACAGGGGCACAGGGCAAAGGCTTTCACCCGTGAAGCAGGGCACGAGGGCAGAGTCACCGCACTGGCATTTCCCTGTTCTAAACATAAATAAAGGAAGCACATGAGGGGCACACACAAAAGCCTGTAATTACACAGACATTTTATTTGCAGCCTCTGAGGCTGTTTCATGCTGAAGTTTTAAGAACTAATTTTCATGCCATGATCCTCCCCTGCGCTGCCAAAGAGCTGCCTGTCAGCCCCTCTCCAGCTCGGCTCCAGGTTCGGAGGCACCAGCAAGTTTTCAATTTGGCTCCAAGCTCATGGATTCAAGGAAGGCCGCGGGCTCCAACTCCCCACGACTCCCGGGCTGTGACTTAAAGCAAAGCAAAGACAAAAACAAGGACAAAACAGCTTGTTATTAGCAACAGTCTTGCGAATACTGTAGTTTCCCTTCTTCACCCTTTCGGTTTGTGGTTGAACACAGGGGTTTTGGGTGGTGTCTGTTACTAGGGCTGTGTTTCAAACATGCAAAGCCCTGGTTGCCACGTAAACGGCATCATACAACACCTACATACTAGCAAATAGATCAGGATGACTTTATCTGAGCAAAACTACAGACAGCAGATAAAACAGCAGGACCTGCTACCACCTCCACACCGCCTTCCCAGCCGCTCCCCAGCACTCAGGAAAAAGGGATATTAAAAAATAGGATTTCTAGTCAGGTGTGAGCCCTGATTCACTCAGCCACAGCAGTAATAAATAAATTACAATTTTTAGAAAATTTAATTATAATTACAATTTAAAAATATAATTAAATTCTACAGATCAACAAGGCACGTTTTCTGTTTATTTCTAGAGGCTCATACACTGAGGCCTTAAACTGCATTGTTGCCCAAAGGAAATGGAACTGGAGAAACTTGAGCACTGAGGTGCCTTCCCCATCCCCTTCATTAAAAGGAGAAAAAAAATTAAAATAAACCTTTCAAATTTCTTACTCTTTGCAATTTTGTTCCTAGGTCCTACTTTAATATTAGCCTTTTTTGTCATTCGCAAAAACCACACATTTCATCACTGTGCTATCTAATGGCGTTAGCACAAAAAGCTTCCCTGAAGTTAAGCAATCTGATGTTAAGAACATCAGCCTGTTCTGTTTCAGAAATACAGTTTCATCTCACTGCTACTTCCTCAAAAGAGGCGTATTTAGTAAGACTTGCTAAATAAATGAGTTAATGAAATAAAATAAGAATTGTATTGAAGAGGTGCTGGAAAACTCATCTTTTACAGAGTACCTGCATGGGTATCAATCTGGTCAACAGAAAAAGAGAGTAACGTCCCCAGCACCAAGGGGCCCAGGCACACAGCTGCCTGCTGCAGGGACAGCACCAATTTGTTCTCTCATTTCGTGAAAGTTAAAACAAAACAACCTAGTTAATCAACACAGGGAATTGAAGTGAAAATATCTGCACTGCAAGAGGAATAATGAGAGGTTTCCTCAGAAAAGATCAGTTAGAGGTTCATGGCACATGAGACATGATCAAGAACAAGCATAAAGCTTTTTTAAGGATACTATATGCAAACAGGTATCTACACAATGTTACAAATTACATCTTACAGTAACTCTGATAAAAGTGCAAGTAATTTAATGATTTGACTCATTTATTTATATAGATATCTCACTCGAGACACCATCCAAGAGCCTCTTGAACCTACCCTCAGAAATAAAACAAATCTCTGTCTTACTTCTTACTAAAAATGAAGAAAACCTTTTAAATAAAAGATCTCAGGCACCTGGGCTGCTTCTTCCCCTTTCCCCCCACTCCAATATAAACTTGAGCCACACACAAAGCACCAGCGAAGTTGGCACCACCGAACATGGTTCTTGTTGATCCTACAGCCTCCTGTCCACACACATCCCCACCAATGAGACCCGGTGACCAGCTCAGCTGCAGATCAAACCTGGACAGTTTTGAGGGTCTGTTTCTGCACCCACACATCAAGAGGGCTCCTTAACTTTGCTCAGGGATTTGATCAAAAGCCCGCTTGAGTCTGAAACCCTAATTTCTCCTCCTGAATTTTCTTTCATCAGTGATGTTACCGTAATCCTTAATATCCTAGCTACTTTCCAGCTGTTTGCAATCCAAGGCAAGGGAAATTAACTCTTCTCCCTGGCCTTTACAACACATGCTGTGGCTACTCATTCAAACTCCAAAAATAAATGATATAAAACTGTATTATAAAAACATACATCATTTATAACTTTTTTTAAATCATTTTTTTCTTGGAGAAAACTCCAAATTTAAATGTCAATATTGAGCCACAGGGTTCTCTTTCCAGGCAGAAAAGCATTAATACCTTCATGTGCTGTTCTTTTTTTGTGCTTTCATGGTTCTGACCTGGGCTTGAAAAGGTTTTGAATTCTACCTCAAAGTTCTTCAACACTGATGTGTTCTTAAGGAGCATACAAAAACCTGGAAAAAGACTTTGATGGAAATACTGCCCCTTTACCAAGGGACTGGTGGGTCAATGCACAGCTTTAAGGTGGAAGGGAGTGCATCCTTTTATCATGCCCACTTAGCCACCACTTCACATGGCTGCGTGAAGCTGATGTCCCTAGATGGCCTTGAAAAAAAATCCATCTGAAACTACCATAATAGAAACTTCAGACTGCTTAGCTTCCAGTTTCACAGTAAAAAGGTGAGAGTTTTTCTCATCCAGCCCCCAAAAGAGATGAATTCAAGACATCTATAACTGTCAAGCCATCTACAACCGTTGGATGGCCACCAGAATCAAGCCTGTTCTAGACAAGCTGTGCCCAATCACCACTCAGAAAGCCAGGGGAGCAGCAAGCAGCAGTGTTATTACAGTGAACAGAGCAGTAGTTCTCCTCGGTTCCTTTGCTCAAGCCCTTTCTAGAACACAAGGATTTTGCGACTGTTTCCAGGCACGGTCAGAGCACGGACAAGCTACACGAGCAGCACAGGTTCTCCAGGAAAGTTCATCCCCTGAAGTCCTGGTAAATCCAGGCCTTTTGGGGTAAAAGGCGAGAGCAGCTGCATAAGCCCGAGTTCCTTTAATCCGAGGCACCACCTTCCTTTCCCCGCAGGCACGGTTCACAATCGAGAGCTTTTCCAGATTAACACAGTGAACCAAGGTCAGCGACACAGAGCAGCTCGCGCAGGCCCAGCGGCTGCGAGGGGAAGGCCGGGGCACAACGGGCCAGGGGACAGACACAGCAGGAGGAAATTTAACCCCTGCTCCCTGAGATAACACCTTCATAACGCACACAGATACTGCGTATATACGTGCATGCATGTATGTATATTCAAGGTAAATACAAGCACACCCCCCTTAGCAGATGCCCTAAATGTTCAGACCGCTATCAATGCGCCCGGGCAGCATCATCGGGGTGGTGGCGGGGACCACCCATGAGTTTTCAGTGAAATTTTTGTTTCAGCTTAGACTGCTTATCACTAAATTTCATAGTTCGTGTCTGAATAGACAGGTTCTCCGACGCAGCTGGCCCCTGATCCAGGGATTTAAATCCTTCTCGCTACACAGGCTAGCAGATTTCCTCAGATTCTCCTAGCCCCCTAACAGCTTTCCTCAGATCCTCCTGGCAACAGCCATGAGCAAAAAGCAGGCCAGACTTTCTGCAAAAACCACCTAAAAAGGCAGAGAGGTTTGAAAACCTTTTCTACCTTTAAGTATTTTTCCCTTGGGTATCAGGACAACAGACGGGAATCAGCCACAGGCCCCCCATTTACTCAGACCTTTCTGTTTGCTCCATGGTTTTACAGCATGGAAGCACAGAATATAGAACAATAATGCACACAGTCCACAGCATGGCCCATTTCAGATATTCCTGCATCACTATTACATTCCTTAAGCTCTCGCTAGCTTTGTGCAAGGCAAGCTTAATTAAAAAATTGATTTCTGGCCAACCAGAGCATGTGTTTGTAAGTGCTAAATATTGATAAATCGCTAATTAAAGAGAAAAGGGGAGTCCGATACAGTGATAAGCCTCATTAAAATCAAGTAGCTGAGAAAAAAAAAAAAAAGAGCTAGAGAAACAGGTTGCAAATTTTATTGGACAAAGACAAATAACCCAGCCTTGGAGCTCCTGCTGGGGCAGTAACAGAAATGGAAACGCTCTTCTGAAAGGAAGACTGCAGTTCACCAAGAACTGAACTCAGACAGTCCCGAATTTTCAAAATAGCCCATGAAGCTGCACATACACACATACAACAGCACTGAAAAGCAGAGAAAAGAAAGCTCTGTTCAGCAAAATGATTTTTTTTTTTTATCCCACACTTCTCAGAATGCCCTACTACAAACCTAGTGAAATACTCTGGAGAACTGAGAGGCAGGGGGACATGGAGCAAGGACAGGCCGGAGGGGCTGTGAGTGCGTGACATTCTAGGACAAAAACCAGGACAAGGAAACTACCCCTGGTGTCCAAGAGTCCATAGTGACTTGAGTCTTTCATGAGCCAGCTGGAAACGGTAGAGCTGTCGTGGAGGGCACAGGCTCATCCTTCACGCAGAGCTGGTGAGAGGAAGCTTCTCTGACGTCGTTCTCCAGAGGCCACGTCAGAGCCTGCTCATGCAAGATGGTGAGAACACAAATGGGGCAGCTGGAGGAACTTGGTAAATTCTGCCACTGAAAGGCTACCTTGGAAAAAACTGGGCTTTGTAAATCAGGAGCAACTGGGAAAGGATTCAAGAGCATCTATCTCATCAACCACCTTCCCCAGCTGCAAGGAAGATGGTGTCAAGACAGAGCATAAGGAGGAGAGGTTTGCAAGAGTATCCCGGGGAACAGGCAGAGAGCTGTGGGCAGGAAGGCTGCAGATGGCAACTGAAGATAAATGGAGCTCAAATTCCTACAGAAGAAGAGATTTTTAGCAGATCTACAGAGGCCCTCCTTATGGAGAGGAAGCAGTTAAAGATGAGGATGGTGTTTCCTCCTTCCCCGCTGCATTGGTGAAATGCCAGAAGCACTTTGCTGAAGTCCCAAGGAGCACCGGAGAGATGGAACTTCAGACATCTGGAGTATGGAGGTCAGAGCAGGCTGCAGAGCAGCTGGGCCAGGCCGCCCGCCGCAACGTCAGCCACTCGTTGGGAAGCGCGGGATGGCTCCGAGCGACGTCCGGGAGCGGGAGCCCGGCAAAGGGCCGGCGGCGGCTCCGCTCCTGCTCCTGGTCTGGCTCTCTGCGCTCCGCAGAGCCAAGGGGCCGAGCGTCACCCGCTGCGACAGCCCCAGGAGAGACTAAGCACGGGCAGGCACAGCTATCGTCACCGCAGGCGGCCGCTCCGAGGCAAAAACACCGACCAACCTGTCCCGGATTTCCCTGTAAAACAGCTACAGAAGTGAGTTACGGGTCACACTTTCCACACTATGACAAACAGTATTGCTCATTTCAACTGTTTGAGCACAAGGAAGAGGCATACACTGCAATACAAAGCACACTGCTTGATTTTAAAAAGATATTCTGTTATCCTCTGATACATGTCCACAAAGTACACAACGAAGTTTTGCAACTAGCTAACTTTTTAGGTCTTTCACATCCACTTGCTAGTCCAATTCCCTTTTCAAGGATGAGTTCAATAAACGATAACAAACAGAAACACACGAATGTAGATTTCTGTGGGAGGATATAGGAGGAGGCAGAGAGACTATTTGCACTTGCCTTCCACCTGCCTCCTAACGTCTGTGGCTTTTCACCATCAAAACTTTCACCATCAAAAGCTGAGTGGCTTTGCACCATCAGAAGAGAAACTTCCTTGCGTTTTTCCTTCTTCTAACATAAATCCCAGGCCACCCCGGATACACTTTCTAGTGTTTGCTGGAGGTTCAGTTACGGCTGAACAGCACAGACCTCTGCTTCACAGCTGTTATGTGACAGGAAGGACAAACCCAGATCTGTATCAGACCAAAACCCCACTGCACAGCAAGGCAACCACCACAAACCACCCATTTGCATTTAGCACACACAACACACCTATGTGAGGAGGGTCCTTTCTTATACCCCTGGGCAGAGGGGGTGATAAACACAGTGAGATCCAAATGGCCCTTTTGGTATTAACTAACACCAGCTGCACTACAAATTCCCAGAGAGGAACTGCTTAAACAGAATCAGTGACTTACTGAATAAGAGGTAGAGATTTCCTGAGCAAAAAGGATGTTTAAAACAGAAAACGCTTTGAGACAGAAGTGTTTCAAGTGTACAATCCTGATTGATAGAACAACAGTTGGGACGTGAAGTCATAACATGTTAACTTTGTATTCAGTCTTTAAAAGCATAAAAAGCAGATAAATGCTTTTGATTATGCAAAACCAAAACTTGACTGTAGGTGCAAGTGTTTTTCAGTATGCAAAATCCGATTTCATTTCATATTTCATTGTCTCTGCATAATCCTCAAGATATGCATGTATGAATAGGTTCATTAAAAAAAGGAACAAACTGTGCCAATGGGAGCTTCTCCATGAGAGTTTCTGTGTTTTTAAGTGGCTAGGTCCCTGTTTTCTTTACTGGAAGCAATGCACTTGTCTAGAATTAAACAAAACATACAAATCTAAATATATTCTTGAGTGAAGAAAAGCACAAAGATAGAAAAGCAAAATTAAAAGGCTTCTTCAGTAGTTTGGACTCACTAAAGAACCACCATGGGAGTAGAATAAAGTCATATGTTGTATGAAAAGCATTTTGTGTGCCAAAAAAAGCAACTTCACAGGAGATGAACATGTGCAATTGCAAAGAGCTCTGCAGGTGGCTGAAAAGGAAACTATCTAAAAAAAACTGTAAGAAAATAAACTAAACAGAACGAGTTTGAACTTTCAGAAAGTTTGTCAGAGGTAACGAGCTGACAGGTCAGCAAAAAGGCAAGGCAGAGCGTTCGTGTCCAAAAACTAAACAAAACACCTTCCAGCTCCCGTTTAGTTTCAAGGTGGCATTTCAAAATTGGAGGGGAAAAACATCCAAAGCAGCAAGTTAACCGGCCTTAGCTTGAACTAGGGTGCTTTATTTTTATCATAACTGCAATAATGAAACATTTGCCAACGCTGAAGGCCGTGTGGCAAGGTCCGCAAGGGGGGAGAGGGGATCAGACGGCGACCGGGCAAAGCTCGGGGTTATGAGCAGCAGGATACAGCCCAGATGGGAACATGAGGCTAGCGGTGTCCCCGGGGGTCAATCCTGCGTCTAACACTGTCCAAAGGCAAGTGCAGGTGCCTGTCCTTAGGGAGGAATAACCCCACATGCCAGTACAGGGTTGACCTGCTGAAAAGCACCTCTGTGGAGAAGGACTCGAGAGTCCCGGAGGACAAATGGACCACGGGCTAGCAGGGCATCCTAGCAGCCAAGGTGGCCAAGGGTATCCTGGTGTGCATCAGGAAGAGCGTCGCCAGCAGGTCAAGGAAGACAATGTTCCCCCCTGCTCAGTCCTGATGAGACCACGAGAGAGACATGGAGCTACTGCAGTGAGCCCTGAAATGGGCTAAGACGAAGGGAGTGGAGCAACCCTCACGTGAGGGAAAGCTGAGAGCTGGGCCTGTGAAGCCCGGAGAAGGGATCTTACCAATGCTCAGAAGTAGCCAAAGGATGTCAAGAGGATGGGGCCAGACCCTTCTCAGTGGTGCCCCGTGATGTGACAAGACACAACAGCCACAAACTGAAGCCCAGGAAGTTCTGTGCGAATGTGAAGTAAAACTTCTTAACTGTGAAGGTGATAGAGTACTGGAATGGAGAAGTTACGGAGTCTCCTTTGCTGTGGGTATTTGGAAGCCATCTAGACACATTCCCGGCCAACATGCTGTAGGTGACTCTGCATGAGCAAGGCTTGGGAGCAAATGATCCCACTTCGAACTTCAACCTTTCTGTGGATTTACTGCCAACCTCAAAATAATCAAGTGCTGCTTAAGAATAAAAATATATATTCTCATTTACATTAGACTTATGGAGTTACTTGAAAGTTTTCTGAATTAATTTTTGGACATGTAGTTTTATAAAGAAGATTCCATACTCTACAAATCACGCACACACAGACATTTTGTGCCTATGAGCTGTCCCAGATTGATAATCCTGGCACAGATTGTGCTTCAAGACATGAAGCAAGCAACGGAAGTGGAAATGACATATCCTTTAGCTATCTACCAGCAAGGCTTTGATTACATATTATCCCCGATCTTGCAAAGGGCACTGTTATTTCCCCACTTATTTGACCATATTTCATTTGATGGCAGTGGCACAAGCTAGTGGGAGAGCTGTTGTTTTCCCAGCAAGTCAGCAATGCACTAACAACGACCCAAGAGTATTAACCAAAGAGCCATCAGAAGGTACTTCTAGCAACTTAAGTGAAAGGGGGTGGTATCTACCATCTCGTCTTCTACATGCCACAAGCACAACCTACCACCTGTGAAATTCTCTTTTTTCTTTCATTTCCATAATGTTCAAAGGTTGAAGATTGACGTGAATTTTCTCCGGAACAGGACCATTAAAGCTCTGTGTTTTTGAAGATTTTGTACAAAGCAAGCAAGTCTCTACAACAAACAACTTCGCTGCAACACTCCAAGGTGCTCCTTCTCCAGTGAGAAGATGCCCAGCAAAGGCCAATTTGTTCTCTTTTCTCTAGTACTGTTATTTTCAGAAAAAAGAGATGGCAGAAATAACCTTTAGTTATCAGAAACCCTCTTAAAAGAATTTTCAGTATGTTTATTCCCTCTGGAGTTAATCTTTCTATTTCTTTCATAATACACTCGAAACCTTTATTTTATCCCCCTGCCCTGTACACCAGGCTTCCGCCCCCACCATCGCTGAAAAGTGGAAAGGTTATAATCACACCCTGCCAAATGCCTTTTAGCAACCCTAAAAACACTTTTTCTTCCAAATCAAGTCCTAACTAATCAAGTCTTTCACCATCCTCATAACTAGTCTTCTGCAAAGTCCTAACTGGGAAGGAAAGGTCCACAGGTCCACATTAACATCTCCAGGATATTACTGCAGCAACAAGCTCTTCCATGTCCCTTCCCACTAAAACAACTGGGATCTAACAGACTCCTGGCTTTTGTGTTCAAAGTTAAATGTAGAACAAGATGATCCAGCCTCCTGGTCTCCCCTTCTCAAGCCCTTTTGCAAACAGCTCTCTCTTCCACAGATCTCTCACCAGATGAGAAGCCATATGCTGAGAAGCATCATCAATCTCACTGAACACAAACCTCTTCTGAAACCCAGGAAAAAGGAAGCGTTAGCCACAGTCCCCCATGTGCATTATGAAGCAGCAGTTACTCTTTTGGACTGAGTCATCCAGAATTCTGGTAATCTGGAATATAATAAGCAAAAGCAGAAGACACACAACCAAATCACAAGCACGCATGATGCATAGCAGCTTAGCACAGCCATGAGCTGGCGGGGAGGAGAAGGTCAAGATGTATGACTAGGGCTGATATGATTCCCTATTCCAATTTTAATATACATCCAGGAGGGAACTTCCCCTTTCAGTCGTGTTTCTGTAAACGGATTTCCCCCCATCTTTCTACTCCTGGCCACAACAGATAGGGAAGACTCCTGTTATATCTGCTGTGGACCTGACCATGGCCTTCGCTGTCATAGCAGCACATGGCACTTGCTTCACACCAAGCTACAACCTCTTCCAACCAAAATCCTTCTCTTACCCTATATATCCTACATTCTCAGTGCTGGATGTGTTATCCCACTGCCTTTACAACAAAATCCTTAGACTAGTGACATGTTCTAAAGAACTGGGTGGTCAATTAGACATTTCCACTGTGCATTTATTAGCATAAAGATTAAGCTGGATTGCAAATGCTCATGATGAAGAGGAATGTCAATTGCTGTAGATGACATGCGGACAGAAGCCTGCAGAGACAAGCAGCTAAGTGTCTGTAGCTTTCCTGATGTTGTCTTCAGGATAACTGATTCCACAGGGGATGGAGGGTGGTGGTGGGAGAACCGAAGCAGTGGCTGGTACAAGAGCTTGACAATAAATAGCAGCTTGGCCATCTCTTCAGGGCCTCTTTAGGCAGTACTCCCCAAGAGGACTGACCAGCAAATTCTTTGAAGCTAACTGAAGAAGCCAGATTTGTGCCCGTGCTGAAGGCACCTAAATCCCAGGCAGGGAAGGATTGGGTTAGAAGGCTACAAATTGCACAGCCGTATTTATGGGAGGCGCTCATACATCTCCACAGTAACAAGCATCACTGACTCGCGTGTGTCTGACGTTAGATCTGTGCAATATCAGACTGCTAAATCTCCGTGCGTGCACACACACATGCAAGAGCCACTACATTTTCTAAGAAACTTTTAACTGCCTGGGCAAGTGCCTTGGGATCAATACACTGCTACA